TGCAGGTGAGTGTGGCAGGTGTTCTCTTGTGTGTGTGCATGTGAGTGTGGCAGGGGCTCTCTTGCTGTACGGGGATGCTGTGAAGTGGGTGAATCAGCTCTAGTCGGAGCAGTTTCCTCCTCTAGAGGAAAGGCCTCCTCCAGGTCCACAGGGAAGACTTCCTATCTTTCTCTCTTTTAAATTTGCCAGCGGGCATGTGTGTTCACCAGAGAGACAGAGACAGAGGGAGAGGGAGAGAGCACCCCCAGTGGGGGACGGTCATGCTGCAATTCCTTCTCCTCCATTTCTCCATCCTGCAGGGATTTGGGGCACGCGTAAACACACATCTGAAGTTTTTTCAAGCTGCTGGGTCTGGGTTCAAACTGCATGGTCAACCAAGGGAAGTCCAGTTGCCTTAACCGCTGGCCATGGGGCTGCCCCTATGGGTAAGACTTTCAGGGTCAGAATTTTTCTGAGTTGGTGGGGGGTGGGTAGGAGTGGCGTGGGGGGCTGCTCTCAACTTTCCATCTGATCCTTTTCTGATAACTCTGTTTGAATTTACTCAGTGTTCAAGCCTTGTTCAAATGGCACTTCATTCTAGAGTCTTCTATGCTTTTCTGAATAAAATTGATGGCTTCTCCCTTTAATATTTTATTTAAGCACTTTTTAAAAAGAGAATTATTTTGTTTAACTTTATTTATTTATTTATCTATTTAATCTGACCAGAGAGAGACAGAATGAGAGAGTGTGAAAGTGCGTGGGAGGGGGGAGAAAGTGAGAAAGCAAGCTGCAGGTCCAGGACTCGAACTACAGTCAGCCATGTGTGGGAGTCCAGTGCCCTTAACCCTCATGCCACCTGCCGGCCCCTATTTCAGCACTTTTAAGCACTGGTCTCAGGTACTTGTTGCTCACGTTACTGGGTCACATTTCTTTTTTTCTTTAACACTTCTCCTCTGAATGCATGTTCTGGGGGTGATGGCCTCTGCGCTTCCTTCCGCCCTGCCATGGGCAGTGTCTCAGACCACAGGTGCTGGTGGAGCGACCACTAAGGCACAGGACCAGGGGCAGAGGAACCACTTACCACGTCTCTTGGGGACGGTCTCCCAGTGAAGCTCGGTTTGCTGTGACCAGTGCTAATAGCTGCTCCTCCGTTGACAGTCCAAAGCATCCATGTCCACGCCTGCAACACAAGAGCAATCCCAGATATATAAAAATCACATGGTCATTCACGGGTTTGTT